CCAGCAAGACAAACCTCCTTTTCATACATGTAACAGCAGCCAACCGCTCCTCCTCCAACCTCAAGCCTGAGAGAGTCACTGTTCACCCAGCATCAGGAAAACTCCTCTGGCACAGTGCCCCTGGAGCCTGCAGGAATTTAGCAAGTCGTGCAAAACCAGATGCAAAATCTGTCAAACAAGTGCTGAGTTACCCAAGTTCAAGGTAACACAAAGCTTTGAACCAAGTATCTCGTAAGTGAAGGCATATTTCCTGTTCCTTTAGGGAAGATGAGAAAACCTCACGTATGTTGCTCTAAAGTGTTTTCAGGGACAAGGTTAGCAAAGGTAACTTAACCACCAGCCACTCATATTTTAATCTGAATCATCTGGATCTGCTCTGATTTTTAAATGCCACCCTGTATCTAGGCTGGCTTTTCCACTGGAAATACATCAGTGGTAGCTTCTTAAAGCAAAGAACGCTCATATAAGCAGCAAAGTACTTGATGGCAGAAAAGGACCAAGGTCCATCTTGTTACCACAGTTTAGTCATATGTAGAATATGAAGTAAAAACAAAAGCAAAAAGTAAACACCAGGGTTTGCACAGTACAGCTCCAATTGCAACAGCAGGTACAGGGTGATGAGGACACATTGTTAAAGATGACAAGTATCAATCTTCTCTTTCAGGAAAGCAAAAACTGAATGAAATACACATAATTAGCAGGGAAACATATTAAAGTGATGTACTGAAAACTAGAATAAGCAGGTTTCCCACCAGTAAGTATCAGTAATTTTTTAGGACTCCACTTTTACCTTGGGATTTAAAAGCTTGGCCAAGTACATTATCACAGTACTCACAATAAAACCATCCAAACTGAAAGTCTCTTACCCCTTCATTTGTTGTTTTACAACCTCCTGAAGAAAGATTCAGTCCCTCCAAAACATAAATCGATATACACTTGCCTGTGGAAGGAGGAGTTGGCTGGTGCCAGCATTACTCTGCTCTGGCATGGCAGCAGTTACCTCTGTTTTGCTCCTGCCCTTCCCCCCAGTACCCGGGGAGAGCATCAGGACTTCCCTGCTAAGGGCTGGGGGAAGAGGTCTGAGGGAAGCATGGACAGCTTTAGCACAGGGAAAAGTGAGACCAAGGAACCTCGGCACCGGGGACCTTTGTGCAGGACAGAGAAGGAAACGGAGAACGCGCAGAGACCGGAGCATTCAGGAAGGACTTGGGTGGGGGGAAAGAGACAGGGGTGGAGGAAGCACACAGGCAGTTTGTCAGCAGCCAAGTGTGTGTGTGCATACATGTGGGTCTCTGTATTTGCCCAGGGTTGGGGAGGCGGGCAGCCTGCCTCATTTCTGTCATGAGTTCAGCCCCAAAAACATGCAAACTCTTCAAAATACTTATATAGACAGAAATCCAAGTGGCACCATTTTGTCGTATTGACATCCAGACCCTCAAAGTGTTTGCAATTCAAACAGAAGATGAAAAAAACCAAGACCTGTTCTCCCCTGCAACAAGCAGGTATCAGTCAAGCGATTAAAAGTTTATTCCCACCCTACACATGGTATCCAAAGAAACAATACATACAAAGATCTATTTATCCCACAATTGCACAAGCCTCCTGGGTTTAATATTTTGAACGATATGACAAAGTTCAAGATACTTTGTTGGATACAACAGGTAAATCTCAAAGAAGAGTTCTTGAACATATGAAAAAAATCATGCCGCTTAAGTGACCTCCACGACATCTACGTTCCAGCAACAGACTGTATTTATAATGCATTGTTTTAATAACACTGTTACCTTTCTCTTGCAGATCCACTCCTCTCCTTGAGGAGTCTTTTGTATTTTCAGACATGGTTGTTTCATTCATTCTACCACCTTATATATACTTACATCAGGCTCATGCCAAATATTCTTGTCATACAGGCTTCTAATTCAGTTGTTTTCTAACTGTAAGAGTCTTTGCAGTCTATCCACATTTTAGAAGAACTTGTGCACAGCACAAATTAATGCAAATGGCTTTCTCAGTGTACATACTGAAGGATATGCATCCAGAGATGTCCTGTCTGAACACACCTTTTAATAGTCCAGGCTGTATTTTAAACTAATTATCGATTTATAAAAAAGTATACAAAAAATTATCCTTGGACCAGTACAATGTCTAAGATACAGTTGGTAAAGATGTAATATTATTCAGGTATTTCTAACTCTGAAATGATGGAGAGTATTACAGTGTAAACTTAGATTACACAGAAAAATAACTTTTTCTTAAATTAAGAACTCTGTAGCAGAATAAATAATTTAAAAACTTGAGAAGATCCGCATTGTTTCTTACACGGAGACTTGTTATGTCTATTGTAAAAAAGCTTAGAGGAACGAAGTATCATTTCTGTCGGTGGTTGTAAAACTTAACTACCTGGTTTTGTTCACATAATTCCCCTCTTTAAATCTGCTAGAGGTAGATGAAGAAAAAACAAACCCCAAAAATCTAAGGATTAAGATAACGCAAATAAATTCTAACCCAGCAAATCTGGCAAACATATGTTCTCACCAGATCTACTGAAAGCAGTCATTTTTTCTTTCTTTTTTTTAAATAGAACAGTACTCAACTTCTCCTTCCTTCCACTCTGTCAAAATCAGTGCTTGATATTGGCATAAAATATTTTTCCACATGTTCCAAATTAGAGCAGAAGTAGGTCCAACCTCTCACTCTTCAGTCACTTTGATAAGTTTCCAGGGACTGTCTGTTGAGGAAACGCTGCCCACCCAGCACTGCCCAGACAGCCCCTGGGCCTCCCCTCAAAACAAGGACAACAGACAAATTGGCAGATCCCATCAAACAGAATGCTCAGGGAAAGGTGTGGGAGCGAGGGAGGTGGGGTTGAAAGCAGGAGAGAGAACCAGGCGATCTTCACGTCCGTTACAGATGGTGACCTTTTCGAAGATATTTTTTATCATGGGTGTCAATGTGCACAGGCTGCAAAATATTTGGCTATTATCACAAAATCAGAGATTTTATTAGGCTCATGAGTATTGACAAGATCTCATGTAAAGCCTTGGTTTTGGCACAGAGAAAATTATAAAGCAGTAACAGAATTTTCTAAAACACGAATGCCTTCATTAATGTCCTGACGGACCAAGAGGAAAATTTCAGATGAAATATTTAGATCCAATTTCCTACTTTTCTATAGCTTGGCCTGCGGCTTCAAGTGTTCCAAAGTCCCCTCCAGTCTCTCTCCACCTGTAGTTTCATCTACTTTCTTCAGCCAAAATCTGTCAATGTGTTGAAGCCAAACACACATAAGAAACCACCCAAGAAGTAGGACTGAGCTTGGTGGCCCTTTTTAAAACCACTGAACAAAGTATGTTTCCTCTTCATCGTTCACCAGACAAAAAGGAGGAAGCATCACTACGTACCAGAACATCTGCATAAAAGTGCCTCCAAGTTTCTTCACAGCCGTAATACTGTCATGATCACAAAGACAAGATTACTTTTCTTTCTCTCTTTCTCTATTATAACTGTAGCCATCATGATCTCATTTGGTATGCAAAAATTATAATTACTTCAAGTACAATTTCCACAGCAATTTGAGTATGCCTTTGTCTAAGTTACCATTTAAATTTAATTAAAATGATAGGACGGACTGAGATGGCAAAACCCCGGTATTCTACATAATTCAGTTTGTTTGGTTTAGTTACAGAATAATGATCCTGGTGGTTAAACTAAAACCACAGATCTAAATGAACGAGGCAATTCTGTGCATTCTAGAATCAATGCATATTTAAATACTTGTTTTCCCAAAATATTTTTAATTTCCAGATATCCTTGCTTTATGGACGCTGAACCAATTTACTCTTACTGCTTTCCTGCTCGTTAAGCTTGAAGTGGGTGTAAGCTAAAATGCCCAACAACGTGCACAGAATTCCGAGGCCTTGATTAACAGACAGTGGATCCTTAAACAAGAGGCACCCTCCCAGGAGGGTGATGCAGAACTTGAAATGTCCAAACATGTTATACCTAGACATCTGTTAAGGATAATAGCAAATATGGGTGTTATTATTTGCAAACAGAAACACCTGGAAACTTCATTACATCGGAAGCATGCAATGGTATGTCACACTGACTTCAACTCATGCAACTTCCCCGCATCTCCGCGGCTATGAGAATCAACCTCCACCTAAAGCCTTTCACCTACTGTACACTAGAAACCAACTGACATGCCAACACTTCCTCAAAGTAGACCAAGTGTGGGTAAATATTCTTTATAGGTAGGAAGGTTACGTCAGTAAGTTAACCGCCATCATCCGTGCAAACCCCGAACAACAAAACGAAATGCACTCAAACATGAACGTGCTTTTCCAGCTTCACAATTTAAGATAAAACAGGCAGGTTACCAAATAATTTTCCCACAATAAATCAGCCCAACTGAATGCTAACGTAATTCATCTGGAAACAGGAAAAACAACTAATGTTACAAAGGATACGTGACAGGTGACGTATTTCCAATGATCCAGTAAATGGACAAGTTTACCATGAAGGCTATTATTCCAGACAGCAGTACCATTATCTGTGGATTAACGGACACAGTCAGTAATCTGACATGCTTCTGGCCATTTGTAGATACATTCCAGGTTATTCATTTAGTTTCCTTTCACAGAATCACAGAATGTCAGGCATTGGAAGGGACCTCAAAAGATCACCTAGTCCAATCCCCCTGCCGGAGCAGGAACCTAAACGAAATTACACAGGAAAGCATCCAGGTGGGTCTTGAATGTCTCCAGAGAAGGAGACTCCACAACTTCCCAGGGTAGCCTGTTCCTTTAGTTTCAAATGCAAAATATCAGGCAAGAAAAACATATGGAGAACAAAAATAGGAACAGCTTCAGCTCAGTACAGACACTGGTGATGTGTTTAAGTAGCTCAGGGTATGATGTCCGTGAATATATACTGATGTAACCACAAGCCTTTTCTCCTTTACTCTCAGGGAACCTTTGAGAGTGATTTGGAAAATCTGGCTACTCGTACACCTAAAGGTTGTATTCTTTACCTTTGAGACAAAATCTTATTTATGGCTGCAACAAAAACGATTTTAGAAAAATATGCAATTTTATTATTGTGAATACTTGCTATTCCATTCATAAACTGCAGCGCTACAAGGAGCGACCCATCACTGAGCACCGTGACTGCAGTGGTAAGAATATGCCACTGGCTCTTTTTTGGACAGAAGGATAAAGAGAGCTATTATACCCTTCTAGGTGGAAATAAACTAGCAGTTCTAGAGAACAACCAATATTGACATCCTTCCACAGAAGAGGAGTTGAGAGTGTCAAAAGTGAGCATGCTTATCTCTTTCCTGCGTGGACAGTAAGACCTGGAACTAGGGCACTTACATATTTTTAATTTAATACAGTAGGGGAAGCTTCTGGATTTTGTCAGATTTTCCTGTTGTTCAGATGCCCTCTAAACAGAAACAACAATAAGGAGGTAAATCCATTGACAGACAGACTCCTCTAGGAGGAAGCGGGGCAGACACAACAAGGTGTGCTTTTTTTTTCCTTCTCTTGCGCATGCCCCTCTCACCTCATCATCAGCAATGACGGCACAAAAATCTGTTTCACGAAGAAACTACAATCAGTTTGTCAAATTGAATTATATCAATAGTGATTATATATTTAAATAAAGTCAATACAAGCCTTACCACAGCAGAAAGTGTCCAGGGCCCAAATATTCCCCCTTCTCCAAAGACTGGCTCAAAGAAGGGTATGATGAACAACAACATAGCTGAGGACATCGGTGCCTGATAGTACAGCAACTGCATAGAGTTTACCTGCAACTCATGTTGCTTAGCTCCTACCCACTAAAACCAAAAGAGAAAGCTGTTAAAGACGAAGAAAAGAAAAAACATAAATTCAAAACTGAGCAAAAGCCAACTGGCTACTAATACAGAGGGAGTCTCACATGAACAATGCTACATTAACAGACTGTTGACTGGAGGCCCGTGCGTTTGTCTCTTGTGAGCACATAAGCTATGTGAAGAGAAAATCGTATACAGGGGAAGCAAAAAAAAACCCAAAACCCTGAGTGCCTAAACCTTCCTTTTGCCATAGCCTGAGGGTAAAGTGTAACACCTGAAAAAGAACAAAAAAGTAGCAAAGCTGGGAAGAAAATGCCAGCTCCCTTTTATTCTTAAGACAAATTCCAGATTCTGTCTAAAATGGAGCAGAGCAACTTTGCCTAAGCAAACATGTGCTTTTGCTCCTTTCTTCTCATTTTCCTCCACACACAAGCTAACAAAACCAGTAAGCGTTTGGCCTTCTTTTGCCAGTTTACTGCATGTAATTTCAGTATTGACTATCATAGAATCATAGAATGGTTTGGGTTGGAAGGGACCTTAAAGATCATCTAGTTCCAACCCCCCTGCCATCAGCAGGGACACCTTCCACTAGACCAGGTGCTCAAAGCCTCATCCAGCCTGGCCTTAAACACTTCCAGGGAGGGGGCAGCCACAACTTCCTTGGGCAACCTGTTCCAGTGTCTGACCACCCTTACAGTGAAGAACTTCTTCCTAATATCTAATCTAAACCTACCCTCTTCCAGTTTAAAGCCATTTCCCCTTGTCTTGTCATTAGTTGCCCTTATGAAAAGTCCCTCCCCAGCTTTCTTGTAGGCCCCCTTCAGGTACTGGAAGGCTGCTATAAGATCTCCCCAGAGCCTTCTCTTTTCCAGGCTGAACAGCCCCAACTCCCTCAGCCTGTCCTCATAGGAGAGGTGCTCCAGCCCTTGGATCATCCTGGTGGCCCTTCTCTGGGCTTGTTCTAACTGGTCCAACTGGTCCATGTTCTAACTGGTCCAACTATAATTGACTGTAACTTGGATTTTCAATGTAGCATGCTTTAAAAGACAACATTAGTTATCTATGTTTATGAAGACAGATGTTACAGGCAAAAAGATGCATCTTTGCATCGTACTGAAGACTGACGTTTACTTTAACACCTCATAAATCATATTAATTGGTAACATGGATTCCAGCACATAAATTGGCTAAGGTTTGGTTTTGTTTTAAATTACAGAATAATTTCACTCAGATACTATAATTTCTCCAGTACACACACCCCACCACTTAAGGTTATTAGGCAGCATCTGTCTCCTCCTCCTGCCCCGAAACAGGACAAGAGAGCATTGTTTATCATCTTGCACACTACCGGTCAAAACAGCTCACTTCTTTTGGAGGTACAGTACCTCTGTTACAAAGAAATTCATGTTTAAATTGATGATGACTAATACATCAGCGTGACAGGAGGCTCTAATCTGGGAGGCTTTTACAGTCATGGCTGATAATGAACTGGTTGTGAGCTGTTAGTACGATGTTACAACGGAAAGGGCTAAGGCAGTCTTTGGGCATATCTATATTTTCAACCATAATTAGCCAGAAAAGTTTTATTGTGTATACACTGTGCATATATATTAATGCACCCTCTACAAAAATTCTGCTTAGACTGTGTATAGTCAAAATTGAAGAAGGATGCTGATAAAATGTCAACAGCTCAAGGATAAACTATGGGATGAACTGAAGGACTAGAAAATGTCCTTTCTAGGGAAAGGCTCAAACGCAAGGCACTTGCTTCAGCAAGGAGAAAACCTGTGCTCTCCAGAGAAATGGGAGTTCTAGCAATAGAATGATCTTTATTCCTTGCAGATATGCTCACAACAGCGTTAAAGATGACACTCCAACATCTAGCAGCAAGGACGAGCAATTCCTTAAACAATTTGCCAAGAGTTGTGGTGGACAATCACATCTTGTAGTTAAATAAATAAATAACGGAGTATGGGGCGTTTCCAGGAGGCCAGAGCGCTCTGCAAAGGCGATCTAACCTGAGAGACAGCAGCTTAAAGACCAACCACCACCACACTCCCACCCTCCTCCTCCTCCCAACCCTCTCCCCACCATTACCCACCACTTGGTAGAGGGAGGTCACCAGGACGCCCAAGGTGGCGAACACCATCCCGAGGACGCTGAACTTCACGTCGTAGTAGGAGTTGAGGAAGACGCCCAGGGTGATGGGGACCTGTGGAGGTGCAGAGAGGGGTCTGAGGCCGGGTCGTTGCCCATCGGCGTCGCCTCAGGCCGGGCGGGCGGAGGGAGGG